TTGTGAAAGATCTCTATATGCCTGACTCATAATTGCTCACATGTGTACTAAAAACCTTGATTTGAAATGCCTTATTGTTGTTGTTGATGATGATGATGTTTGAAAGTGAAAAAGGTGAGCATGAAATACTAAATACGGCCGACATGCCAAGAATGATTTTATAATTGTGGTCACTAGTGCCAATGAAATGAAAAGATGTGAAAGAAGTATGAAACGAGATGATTGGTTGAAAAGGGTGATGTCGATCCACACATCATTGTGGTGAGAAGGCCTAGCCGATCGGGTCGTGATCGGATGCCATGCCGCACACATGGTGGTGATTGTGTTGGAAATTATAATTGAAATTGTGAATGTGGTTGATGTCTCGGATGAGACGGCCTAGACGATCGGGTCGTGATCGGACTCCGTGCTAAAAGTATGGTGGTATTCTGAACGGTGGCATACTGGTACTAAAGATCTCCCAACTTAAGATATGGAAATTTATTTGAACATTGTCTTGGTCCTAACTTGAGGTTTGATGTTGTTTGGGGCTTCCACTGATATTACGATTATTCTTGCTTGTATTATTAATCATTCTATTGAGAGGGTATTTTGTCATTCATGCTAGTACTATTCTATATGTACTAACGTACCTTTTGCTGGGGGCGCTGCATCTTCAATGGATGCTGGTGGTTCCACAGCAGGAGACATTGATCAATGATAGCGGTACACCCTCTTCCCAGCTGACTTGGTGAGCCCCACTTCATTTCGGGGTCATGTATCTTTTGTTCCTTGTGTATTGTGTTTGAGGTATAGCCGGGGCCTTGTTGCCGGCACTATCATAGTACTCTTTTGTATCTATTAGAGGCTCTGTAGACATAGTGTGGGTTGTATATTAGTGCTGGGGAAGTAACACAAGTTATGTTGTGTTTGAATTACTTGTTCCACTTCAGACCATTAAAATGTGTGTAATTTGAGACTTTAAAATGAAGTAACTAATGGTAATGAATAGGTATTGTATACATGATCTCTTTATTGTCTAATTAACGAAAATTTGTATTCTCTTTATTCATGAGTTTGGGTAGAAAGTATCTAACAAACTTGCTTGATCGGGTTCACTTGGTTGAGCGTCGGTCGCACTCCCCGAGTTTGGGGTGTGACAAGAAATGCCATCCCGCACGTAACAACCTCCGAACGGCTCGAAACTAGCCAAAAGCAACTCAAATACACCAAATAATGCCAAAGGAAACCAACCCAAATGATAAAGGTCGAATTTTTAATCAATAACGCAAAGTCAACCAAAATGTCAAACCCAGTCCCATACTTTGGAACCCGACAAAACTCATAAATTCCGACAACTAATTTGATTACGAGTCCAAACTTACTAATTTCACTCAAATCCGACTCTGAATCGATGTTCAAAACTCAAAAACTCACTTTAGGAAACTGTAGACAAAACCCCAAAATTTCTCTTTTGAAATCATCGATAAAATTCCAAAAACGAAGATGGAATCATGGAATATAATCAAAACCAAGTAGAAAGCACTTATCCCAATCCATGTGGTGAAAATCGCCCAAATCCGAGCTCTATAGCTCAAAATACGATAAAATATCTGAAACCTTCAAAATAGAGTACTTATAATCACTGAACAGTAATACCCATCGCGATCGCGAGAATTGTTTCGCGATCGTGAAGAACAAATGCAACTTCCACCAAAATGCTTTACGCGTTCGTGATACTATCCACGCAAACACAATGAACACAAACACCTACTCTACGCGATCGCGACGACCTTGCTTTCCTGCATTTAGCTCTTGCGTATTTTGAGTCACCTTTCTAAAAACCAAGTCTCCCACTTTGGAATAACGGAGATTGGCTCTTCGATTATAGTATCTTTCCCTTCTTTGTTTCTAGGCCACCATCCTTATGTGCGCCAAGTCCCTGTGTTCGTCGAGCAGCTCCTATTTGACTAGCAATCCTTCGTTGTTTGTTTCTTCGTCCGCCCAGAAGTACCTCAAGGTAGGTTCTCCAACTTCCACCGGGATCAGAGCTTCGGCTCCGTATACGAGAGAGAAAGGTATCTCTCCCGTGCTTGACTTGGTCATTATCCGGTATGCCCATAGCACTCCCGGTAAATCTTCGGGCCACTTACCCTTGGCTTCTTCCAATCTCTTTTTGAGGTTTTGAATAATCACCTTATTTGTCAATTCCGCTTGGCCATTTGCGCTCGGATGGTATGGCGAATATGTGATTCTTTTGATTTTTATGTCTTCGAGGAATTTTGTGACCTTTGCGCCTATGAATTGTGGCCCGTTGTCACAGGCAATCTACTTCGATCTTTCGAACCAGCAAATTATGTTCTCCTACAGGAAATCGACCACTTTGTGCTCGCCGATTTTCTGGTAAGGACCTGCTTCAATCCACTTAGAGAAGTAATCAATTAAAATCAAAAGAAACCTTACCTTATCGGGACTAGGCGGTAGTGGACCGACTATGTCCATCCCCCATTTCATGAATGGCCATGGCGATAATACCGAGTGTAATAGCTATGCCGGTTGGTGTACTAACGACGAATGGCGTTGACACTTGTCACATTTCTGAATGAACGCCTTAGCATATTGTTCCATCCAGGGCCAGTAGTATCCTTTCTTAACTAATTTTAACACCAACAAATATGCACCTAAGTGATTTCCACAAATTCCTTCATGAACCTCTCTCATGACGTAATTAGCATCGGAGGCTCCGAAACATCGGGCCAACGGGCCTTGGAATGACATTCTGTATAACTGTCCTCCCCAGAAGTTGTAACGAGCTGCTTTAGTGCGGAGCGCCCGAGATGCCTTCGGGGCTTCATGCAGCTTGTCGTGCTCCAGGTAGTCGATGATTTCATTTCTCCAGTCCTAGACCAAGTTGGTGGAATTTACTTCATAATAATCGTCCACAACCAATACCGAGTGCATGAGCTGTACGACCGTACCGGAATCTGATCCCTTCACTTCCGTGGATAAGCCTAGATTGGCTAATGCATCTGTTTTCGCATTTTCTTCTCTTGGGATGTGGGTGATTGACCACTCCCCGAACCGTGCGAGCAAAGTTTGAACTTTCACCACATATTGTTGCATGCGTTCCTCCTTGGTGTCGAAGATTCCATATAGTTGATTTACCACTAGTTGGGAATCATATTTGATTTCAATGACCTCGGAGTCTAGTCCCCGGGCCAGTTCAAGTCCTGCGATCAAAGGCTCATACTCAGCTTCATTGTTAGTCAAGGGAACAGTTTTTATGGCCTGCCTCATTACTTCTCCCGAGGGCGTGATGAAAACTACCCCGAGCCCAGACTCTTTCACGTTGGAAGCTCCATCCGTGAATAAGGTTTAAACTCCTGATGTCATTTTTGACACCATTATCGCTTCCTTAGTGGCCAAAGGCAGCAGCCCGGGACTGAAATCAGCCATGAAGTCGGCCAAAACATATGATTTGATTGTAGTACCGGGTTTATATTTGATATCGATTTCACGAATTTTGACTGCCCATTTGGCCAGTCGACCTAACAACTCAGGTTTGTGAAGGATATTCTGTAGGAGAAAAGTTGTCACCACGGCTATTGGATGGCATTGAAAATAAGGCCTAAGCTTCCGAGCGGCGACTATGAGAGCCAAGGCCAATTTTTTGAGGTGCGGATAACGAGTTTCCGCCCCCGATAAAATTCTGCTAACATATAAATAGGAGATTGCGTACTTTCATCTTCCCAGACTAGAACAACACTAACCGCTACCTCCGAGACCGCTAAGTATATTAGCAATTGTTCGCCTTCCTCCAGTTTTGATAGTAATTAAGGGCTTGATAAATACCGTGTCAGGTCTTTTAGGGCTTGTTGGCATTCCGGAGTCCATTCAAAGTTGTTCTTATTCTTCAAAAGTGAGAAGAAGTGATGGCATTTTTTCGAGGACCGGGAAATGAACCTGCTTAGATCGACCATTCTTCCGGTTAGCCTTTGGACTTCTTTTACGTTTGTCAGCTTGTCTGGGATGTCCTCGATAGCCTTAATCTTGTTGGGATGGACTTCGATCCCCTTTGTGACACCAGGAAACCCAAATATTTACCAGAGCTGACTCCGAACACACACTTTTCAGGGTTAAGCTTCATGATTTGCTTTATTAGCATGTCAAAGGTTTCCTGGAGGTGCTTCAGATGGTCACATACGTTCAAAGACTTAACCGAGATATCATCAATGTAAACTTCCATTTTTTCCCTACTTGCTTTTCGAACATTTTGCTCACGAGCCTCTGATAAGTGGCTCCGGCATTCTTAAGCCTGAAGGGCATCATATTGTAGCAATATGTGCCAAAGTTTGTTATGAACAAAGTTTTTTCCTGATCCTCTAGGTTTATTTTGATTTGGTTGTACCCGGAATAGACATCGAAGAAACTCATCAACTCGTGCCTGGCCGTTCCATCAATTATTTGATCAATGTTTGGCAATAAGAACCAGTCTTTTGGGCACGCCTTATTCAGATCCTTATAATCTACGCACATGCAAAATTTATTATTCTATTTTGGAACTACTACTACGTTAGCTAGCCAGTCGGGATACTTTACCGCCCAGATTGAACCGATATCGAGCAATCGAGTTACCTTTTCTTTGACAAACTTATTTTTGACCTCGGCGATTGGGTGCTTCTTTTGACTTACCAGAGGGATGCTGGGGTCCAGGATTAACTTGTGCACCGCCACCTCTAGCAGGATACTTGTCATATCCACGTGCGACCATGCTAAACAATCAACATTAGTTTTAAGAAATTCTATAAATCCTGACCTCAGCTCAGGTTTTAATCAAGTGAAACTTCCTCTCTAGGAACTTTTTTGAACAATGCCACTTGCTCGATTTCTTCCGCCATGGATTTGGTTGTGTCCGTTTCTTCCGGTACCTGGAAATACTTTGGTACCTGATAGGATTCCGACGACTCCTCCCCTTTGTCGACTTCGTTTGGTTCGGTAACGGGCATCGATTCTTGTAATTTCTATGCCGCATGTTCCTTCCCTTTACTGCTGGAAACCGATATCGCATTCATCTCTCTTGCCGCTGGTTGATCTCCTCTTATTTTTTTGATTCCCTCTGGAGTTGGGAATTTTAGAAGTTGGCGATATATTGATGGCACGACCTTCATCTCGTGTAGCCATGGTCTGCCAAGATTTATGTGATAGCCCATATCTCCATCTACTATTTCAAACAAGGTAGTCTTCATGACCCCTTCGGCGTTCGTGGGCAGCAATATCTCCCCTCGGATTGTCACACTTTCTAAGTTGAACCCGACGAGGAGCTTTGTTGCCGGAATGATACTTCCAGTTAGCTTGGCTTGCTCCAGCACTCTCCATTGAATGATGTTGGCTGAACTCCCTGGGTCGACCAAAACAAGTTTACTTTTAAAATCCAGAACGTTATGAGAGATTACTAGGGCATCATTGTGTGGCAGTAGAAGTCCATCAGCGTCCTCTTCTGTGAAGGTGATGTCATCCTCGGCGACATCCCGGAGTCTCTTGCTATGTGCCACCGATATTTTTGTCTTTTTTGCTGCCGAGAAGGTTACACCGTAGATGTTATTTCCCCCAAAAATCATGTTGATGGTTTGCCGGGAGGGTCTTTACCTATTTTTGAGGGCTCTGCATTGTCCCGATTGTGACCATAATTGTTCTTAGCCCGGTCACTTAAGAACTCTATGAGATGGCTGTTTTACAACATGTTGCCACCTCCTCGCGCAAATGTTGGCAATCCCTGGTCCAGTGGTCGTTAGTCCCATGATACTTGCACCACAGATTAAGATCCCTTTGGCTGGGATCAGATCACATTGGCCTCAGGAACCATGCTTCCTTGATGTTCCTCATCGCCGATATCAGATCCACTACGTCGACATTGAAATTGTACTCGGACAGCCTGGGATAGGTGGAATCCCGGAAACCCGATACTTCTTTGTCTTACAATGACCTGTTGTTCTGACCACTGTCAGTTCTTCTATCGGAAGCGAACCTATCCGCTGACCAGAACCCTCTGCCGCATCTTTCGTCCCTTTCGTAGGGCAAAAACTAGCCGTTAGAAGATTGCCGATCTGCATCAAAATCATCCTTCGATTTGTCCCTGTTCTTTTCTCGATCCTGACACCTATTTGATGCCGGGAACCCGAGCTGATCATCTTCTATTCTTACCTTTGACTCATAACGGTTATGGAAATCCGCCATGTAGTTGCCTGGAACTCGAGCAGGCTTTTTTTCAGTTTTCGGGAGGTGTCGGAGCTCCTCGGGTTCAGCCCCTTTGTAAATGCCTCAACTTCCCATTCATCCGGCACGGTAGGTAGCTTATGTGCCGTAGAAATACGGCACTTTTGATACTAATTACATAGACTTTAGCTCATCTTTTAAAGCATTATAAGTCATTTCTTATGTAATTTTGGTGTTTTGCAGGAAACCAACCTTGAAGAGCCAAGAACATGAAAAGATAACAAAACCCCATGGAAAGTCAGAAATGCAGCAGGTCTGCTACCGCAAAAGTGATGTGCAGACCGCAGACCTATCGTAGAATGAAGCAGATCATCACAGTTTCTGAGAGTCAAGTCTGCGATCCATTATGCGGTCGCATAACTCTTATGCGGAACGCATAATAATCGCACAATAGCAGAAGGAGTTCCAGTGAAGATGATTTTGCAGTATGTTATGTGCTCGAGAAACCAATTTGTGGATTGCATCAACAAAATGCGATGGAAAACTGAAAAACATTGTGAGCAATTCTGCGGTGAAAAATGAAGATGTGATGACTGCGAAAGTATTCTGCGGTCGCAGACTTGATCTGCAGGGTTATTTTTTCACTTTTGTACCACGATTTTTAGACGATTATAAAGAGAATGATTAGGGTTTTTGTGGACCATCTTGTCTGAAAAAGAGGCTACACTTAGAGCATTAAGTACACCATTATTTTGAAAGCTTTTGAGAGAGAATCCAAGACTTTATTCTCTTTGTAAGCTTTATGACTTTATTTATTACTTTGTTCTTGTATTCTATTATGAGTAGCTAGCTTTAAATACTAAGGTTGTAGACCCTAAGTGGGTGTAATGTTAATGAGTGTTTACCATTGAATATATATATAATGGTTGGTTGGTTTTATTCATTTCTCATGCTTCATTTATCGTTGATGGTTGCAAACATTGACTAGTGCCATTTTACTCTATCCTTACTTGGAAAAGTGGGTTAGGGTTTGGTAGAATTGAATAGCAAGAACTCAAGGCTTTAAACCTTGTTTAATAGGATCGCTTAGGGATAAGTGGTTTCTACTTGGCATAAATTAGTTGCTCTTAATTGTTACTCTTTTATATTTGGGAAAATCATAAAGAGGAAATACTACCTAGTTATTGGAAAATATTGGGTAGTCATTTAGGAACTACTTGCATATCAAATGACCTTCTATTAGAAATATATCATATTAACACCGATAGCATTACATTCCATTGATGGGGATACAACCTTGGTTTCTTAATTAAATTAATCAAATTCTCTTAACAAAATAGTTGTTCTTGATAATTCACAATTATAAAACTCTGTTTAAACTAATGGAGTAGAACTACGACTAAAGTCAAGTTTTACACTATTCAAGTAACCTTTTCACACCTATTCCCTGTGGGATTCGACCCCAACATAGTTGGGTTATTATATTTGACACCGACATGGTGTAATTTGAGCGTATCAAATTTTGGCGATGTTGCCGGAGAATACAGTTTTGAAATTACTCACTAGTGTGTGCTTTACTTTACGTATTCTTCTATTCCATCACACTTTACTTTCTTTGCTTTGTGTCATTAGGTAAACATGGGCGAGCCAGAAGAAGTGAATGTGTTTGCAGATATAGATGAGTATATTGAGGATACAAATGCCATTGTCCCTCCAAGAGTTGATGCTGCCACCTTCAAAGTAGAACACAGTCTAATCCTAATGCTAAAGGCAGAGGGATTCTTCCGAAATTCCACCGATGATGATCCGACACAATATCTCAGAATTATTTTGGGTGTGTGTGTAATGCACAAGCAGAATCATGTCTCAGTTGATGCCCTAAGGTTGAGGGTGTTCAAGTACTCTCTAACTGGAGAGGCAAGATAGTGGATCCAAAATCTACCTCTTAATTCCATCCATACTTGGCCCGAACTTGTCCGAGCTTTCCTAGCAAAATGGTTTCGGCAAAGTAGGAAGTCCGAGCTCCGGGATAAAATTTTCTTCTTCAAGCAATTACCGGGGGAGCATCTACATGAAGCATGGGATAGATTCAAGCTATATTTAGTGAGGTCGCCGAATCATGGCTTTCCGGATAATATTTTATTGGAGAAGTTTTACATGGGCTTGGATCCTATGAATCAATCCATAACAAAAAATACAGCGGATGGATCCTTTATGGATTGCAAGGGTCACACAAATCCTTAACAAGATGGCAGAACATAACCGAGCTTGGCACTCGGAAGACACCACGGGTGGAATTGCATATGGTACTCCTTCCTTGACCAACATGATTTAGGAGAACCAAGAAAGAGATCAAGTAATTGTCGGGGTTGCCACCAATGTCAACGTGTTGACGAAAATGTTCACTGAAAGCCAAACAAAAAAGGTGAATGTTGTGGAAGATGTGCAACCCATGTCAAATGAGGAATACGAAGAAGCAAATTATGTCAACAATCCTCAAGGAGGATATCAAAGACAACCCTACCAAGGTTCAGGACAACAACACCAATGGAGGTCTAACCCGCAAGGGCAAGGCAACCAACAGTGGCGAAACGACCAAGGTAGTTCAAATCAAGGAAATTGGAGTAACAACAATAACAACTTTTCAAATCAGAGTTCAAACCCCTATGTTCCACGAAATGGGCAATATTCTAACTCTCCACATTGGAACGAAAGTTCTTCAAGTGAGTTCAAGTTAGAAAACATGCTTGAAAGAGTATTGCAAAATCAAGAGAGATCTGACACTTCAAAGAAGAATATGACCGAGCTTGTGGGTTCTCACACCGCATCTATTCAAAAGTTGGAGATGCAAATGAGGGATTTTTCAAGAGATCAAAATCCTAAGCAAAAGGCAAGATCCCAAGTGATACAATTTCAAACCCAAAAGGTAGTGGGGGTGGTCCAACTTCTCATTGTATGGCAATCACAACTCGAAGTGGGAAACTACTTCAAGGAGAGAATGAACAAGTGGTTGAAGTGGAAGATTCTGAACAAGAAGTTGAGGCACAAGTTGAGGTGCCAATTGTTGTTGAAGTTGAAAGACTCCCGAGAAGGTGAGAACTCAAGAAGTGAACCATGAAGAGGTCAAGGAAAAGGTAATAGAGGCAACAAAAATTCTAACACCAATTCCTAGACCTCCTCCTCATTTCCCTCAAAGACTTGCTAGAAAGGTTGATGATAGCAAACTCGAGAAGTTCTATGACATCCTAAAGAAATTATCTGTGAACATTCCATTTGTGGAAGCATTTCAAGAGATGCCGGGTTTTGCTAAGTACTTGAAGGACTTGATCACTAAAAATAAAACCACCAAGAATGAAGTGGTGAATGTGACTCACCGGGTTAGTTCCATCATTGCAACAACCTCCGTCCAAAAGAAAGAGGACCCGGGAGCCTTCACCATTCTATTCACTATTGGATTGCGCGATTTTGCATGAGCATACGAAAGTAACTCATTCATTGATGTTGTTGATGAGGTAGAGGATGCAGTCGAAGTGAAGATGGAAGAGGAATTCCTTGGTGAGGCATTGGATGCTATTTTGGTGAATTTTGATGGTGAGGACATGGAAGGATACGTGGAATCGGTGAATGCATTGGAAGTGCTTGGGTCCTACACTTATGCACCAAAGAAGCTTTCTCTTGACTTAGAGAATATAGTCACTCCTCCCGCTAAGCCTTCAATTATCGAGCCACCACAACTTGTGCTCAAGCCACTTCCGTCGCACTTAAGGTATAAATTTCTTGGCTCTAATGAAACCCTACCTGTAATTGTTTCTTCTTTGTTGAATGATGTGCAGGTTGAACACGAATTGAATACCTTGAGGGAGCACAGACAAGCCATTGGTTGGACTATAGCAGATATCCGAGGGATTCCCGCCGGAATTTGTGAGCATAAGATACAATTGGAGCAAGAGAGCAAACCTAGCGTGGAGCATCAAAGAAGGTTATATCCTTCCATGCAAGAGGTGGTGAAGAAAGAAATCATAAAATAGTTGGATGCGGGGGTTGTCTACCCCATTGCCGATAGTCCTTGGGTAAGTCCCGTGCAATGTGTGCCAAAGAAATGAGGCATGACCATGATTCAAAACGACAAAAATGAACTCATCCCAATGAGGATGGTAACCGGGTGGAGAGTTTGCATGGACTACTGGAAACTCAATAGTGCTACTTGCAAAGACCATTTCCCTATGCCTTTTATTGATCAAGCTTGATCAGCTAGCGGGAAGATTATTTTATTGCTTCTTGGATGGTTATTACGGCTACAACCAAATAAACATCACCTTAGAGGACCAAGAGAAGACGACATTCACATGTCCGTATGGGACTTTTGCCTTTAGCCGGATGCCAACTGGGCTATGAAATGCCCCGA